TAGGGGAGGTCTCATCAGTGGGTGTAGCCGATGATGACGAGCACGAAGTATCTGGATTTTCCTCTTCAGCATCGTCGGAGGTTGGTGCTTCTTGCGGCGATGTGTGATCAGGAGGTTGTTGATCCAGTGCAGCAGGATGAAGTATGTGCTGCAACAAGAAAGGCGGTGAGACAGAAGGGGAAAGGGTTCTCAACCAGTGGCAGTGAAACGTGAGTGAAACGTTCGGTAGCAAGGTTTGCAACTGGTTCTTGCAATGACAGTCGAGTTGGTGAAACGCAAGCACGTGAAACGTCTGGGTGATACGTCAAAGAGGTCTGACCACCACGACTGCCTGGAATGGTTAGCAGTCGCCTCGAACTGCTCCGTGGCGGCGGCACAAGCGCTGAATTTCCGAAACGTGATGGCAGCAGCGCATGCGGGTTCATGAGGGTGATGTGGATGTGGATGACGTTGATGAACTGGAGGTTGAACTGCTGGATTTGCTGGTGGACAAGCTTGATGTTGGGCTGGTGCTGGTGCTACTGCTTGATGTACTGCTTGTGCTGGTCGATGACGATGACGAGGACGTGGATGATGTTGATGAACTGAAAGTTGATGAACTGGAAGTGGGGCTACTGGATGTGCTGGTCAATGTGGTGCTGGTTGACGTAGTCGTTGTGGAACTGTTTGACGTGGATGTTGTTGAGGTGCTGGATGTGCCGGTGCTGTTGCCGGATGTGGTCGAAGATGAAGTGGAGGTGCTGCTTGAACTAGTGCAACTCGTGCTTGCGCTGCGAGCTTGTGCTTGTTGAGGAGCTGGAGATTGAACTGCTGGATGTGCTGCTTGTGCTGGTCGATGAGGATGATGTAGATGTGGATGACGTTGATGAGCTGGAAGTTGAACTGCTGGATGTGCTGTGCTGGTGGACGAGCTTGATGTTGAGCTGGTGCTGGTGCTGCGGCTTGATGTACTGCTTGCGCTTGCCGATGACGATGACGAGGACGTGGATGATGTTGATGAACTGAAGATGGTGCTACTGGATGTGCTGGTCGATGTGGCGCTAGTTGACGTAGTTGTTGCGAAACTGGTCGACGTGGATGTTGTTGAGGTGCTGGACGTGCTGGTGCTGGATGTGGTTGAAGATGAAGCCGAGGTGCTGCTTGAACTACTAAAACTCGTGCTCGTACTGCTGGAGCTTGTGCTTGTTGATGCAATTGGAGCTGGAGGTTGAACTACTGGATGTGCTGGTCGAGCTGCTGCTGGTTGAGGTTGCGGTTGTCGAACTGGTTGATGTGCTGATTGTGCTGGTGGTTGAGGAGGACGTGGACGTAGTCGACTGCTAGTTGATGCAGTTGTTGTGGAGCTGGTTGACGATGATGTTGCTGAGGTGCTGGATGTGCTGGCGCTGGTGCTGGTGCTTGATGTGGAGGAAGATGAAGTTGGAGTGCTGCTCGTGCTTGTAGAGCTTGTTGTCGTTGTTGAGCTTGATGCGCTTGAGGTAGTGGATGTTGAGGAAGTGCTTGATGCGCTTGTCGATGTTGATGTAGATGTAGAGGAGGACGTGGACGTGGATGTAGTGGTGCTTTCGTCGTAGTTGTCATAGTGTCGTGGAGCTAGTGGAAGTTGAGGAAGGTGTGGTATTCGAGGGCTTGAAGACGTACTCGTGGTTGAGGAGCTAGTTGATGTTGATGACGTGCTTGAGCTTGTCGTTGTTGATGAAGTGCTTTTTGAGCTGCTCGACGTGGACGTGCTGCTGGTGCTGCTGCCAGGGGTGTCGTGGGAGATGTGCTGCTGGACGATGTGGGTGGACGTGCTGCTCGTGGATGATGCGCTTGTGCTGGTGCTGCTGGCTGTGCTGGTGTCGCTGGTGGTGGTGCTGCTTGTCACCGCCTGCGTCAGTTCGGCAGTGAGGGACATGGCCTGTGTACTCACCAAGGACGATTGCTGCTTGCTGTCCCCTGTGCAGGTTCCGGAAGTGTCCTCGTTGAGGTTGCCCTGCATCCCGAAGCTGAAGAGTCCGAAGGACGGGAAGTCGTTGTTGCCCCAAGAATTGGGACGGAGTAGAAGGTCTTTCAACATCCAAGCGGACGCCCGTCACGCGCATGGTGGTTTAGCTGTAGACCCGTGCGAAGATGTCCTCGGCGTGGACGTGGATGCCGGCGTCCAGGATCGCGTTGACCAAACCTGCATGCGAGGAGCAGTGCATCCAGGATTCCGGTGCCAGTGCTGTTTGATCGGCTGATGGTATGTCTGCCAAAGTTGGTACACGGCTATGGTCCTGCATGGCGGAGTTGATGGCTTGGCTCCATTCACTGAGGTCGGGTTCGGGTTCAGTGTCGGATCGAGGAGCTCGAGTGCAGGTTTTGGTGCTGGTGTAGGGGGTGCCTTGGAATGGGTGGAAAGGCCTGGACGTCCGAGTTGAGAAGAATGACAACAAGCTGGGGGCGAAGCCGGAGCGGTTGGTGGAGCGGCGGGTCGGGAGCCGTGGTGCGGAGTGTGGGGTCGACGGTCATGTTCTTCGTGACCACACGTGGCACAAGCAAAATTCTCCTGAGGATGCCGAGGCTGACGTTGTCGCTCGTCAGGGACGCGGCGCCGAGAATCAAGTCACCGAGAGTCATGGCGGTGATGGTCAGGACGGCGACGCGACCGATGCCGACGTCAATCAGGATGGTCACGTCCAGTGAAACGCGGCACCGTCGTCGATCCTGGCTGTGGTGTCCGGTCTACCTGCAGTCCGGAGCAGGGCGAAGCCCCTTGACGATCTCTGGATGGTCGGCGATGTCGTGTGGACAGGGTTCTGGTATCGCCAGGATGTGGTGCTTGAACGGGTTGTAGTGGTAGCAACAAGTGCCCGGTGACTGGGGAGAAGGCAGCACGGGAACCGCAAACAAACCTCAAGACCTCATGCTGCAGCCAGCCACCACGGGGAACCGACACGGGTGTGAATGCTGAATCTGAATCCACGCTGGGTGGCCCTGTGTAGGTTGACAACAAGTGCGGCACGCTGTCTCTAGTGTTACACAAGATTCTGATTGAACATACCTTTGGGCGGGACAGCAGGGGCACATGGTGTAGTGGTGTCACATCCGCTTCCGCAACACTTCACTCGTGTAGGGCCGCGCGCAAATCTAAAGTTTCTTTGCCACGCAGGTCTCAACGGCACGTCCGTTGCGCGCACTTTTGGAAGACATGCTGAATCTCCTTCAGAGGCTTTCTTGAGGGTTCTCTGGGTTGCAAAACTCAAACTTGCTTGTGAAAGATTCAGGTGAGACCAAAGAGCCTTTGATTGGGAGGGAGTGCCAGAGAGGTCCAGCGCCGCCAGCGCCCTGAATAGTGACTACTCTCCTTCACTGAGGAGCCGGGGATGGTGACCCGTCTAACTTGGCGCCATCTTGGAAGGCTGAGCAGCACACACTTTGGAATAAAGGAGAACCACAGAGGTCATGCGTCAACCCTTGCGTTTCGGAAAGCAACACACAACAAGACAACGGAAACAAACCATCGAGCCATTGGTCGTTGCACAGCAACAGCGCGAAAATATGGCTCTTGCAGGTGCGTCATTGAGCGTCCCCAGTGATATCACCAGCACACATCCGGTGTCTTCGTTGGTGCAAGACCAGATGGGCTGCTTGCACCCCTGGTGTAAAAAGTTGAAGAACTGGCGGTGGGGCCTTCCAGGGATGATTGATCCGCACACACACAGGCACCGCTTTTTGCGGCAGGGGATTCAAAAGTTACACACTGAGATCTTTGATCTCAAACCGTTTGGTCTTCCCCTTGAACCAGGATGATCCACACACACACACACACGCGCGCGCACACTGGAAAAGTACCAAGGCACAGCTTGCACGTTTAGCCCGTAATCCCGCGAGCATTTCAATGACAGGAGTCGCCTGCAATCTCTTTGCCGGAGCTCGATTGCGAAGGGCGAGGTTTTGACCCTCGTTGGCCGGTGCTACGTGGGACACTCAGGGCTGGCTTCTCCCGGGGCGCAAGGATTCAGTCCTCAGCGTTGCCCAGATTGATGCCCGCGTTTGTTCCACAAACTGCCCTGCCAGACTTTCGTGACTAGTTCCTTGGTGAGGATGGCCTCGCTCCTTGTATTAGGTGGGGTTGGACATGTTCACAATATTCTTGCGCTATATGTTAAAAAGTTGAAAGTCGCCAGCCAAGCAGCAAGCCTTCACTTTGCGGAGCTGCTTTTTGATTTCACGTCGCCTTGAGATTGCAGCTCAACTTTTCATGGAGGCATTCCACCCAGCTAGCTCCATTCATTCGGGGTCTGGAATTGTTTTCTTTTTTTCTCCTGGGTATTAGAATTGCAGTGACATCCGACCACCACGACCAGCCCGCCTGCTGACCAAAGCCGCACTTGGAATCAAAACAGAGCTGCTGCGCAATCTTGCGCTTGCCTCTTGCATAGAGGCCGAAATGTGAGCTGCTCACTGCGAATCGCATATTTGATCATTGCAAAACAATAGCTCCAGACCCGCTTATGTCCACGTATGCCAGACATGAATGAAGCACATTGGCAAGTAAAAGGCCTCCCAATGTTTGCCGTGCACAACAGCTCGCTGCAGACATTTGCAAACAAAACAAAATGATTCCTCGCTAACGCTTGTGCGTGTGCTCCATCCATCTCACCGAGGCGAGCTTGCAAGGCAGAGAGGGGAGTGAGAGGGAGAGGAAGAGGAAGCAATGCGAGGGGATTGTAAGGGACTGATACTCGCTCAAGCGCAATTGACGCAGCAAAAGCATGTTTGGCGGACCTGGGCAGCTTGGAGCTACCAGCAGCGCGCTTGACTCCTCTTCAGCGACTTCGAGGCAAGCTGCGTGCGCTGTAGAGTTTTCATTCTGCATTCATTCTTCATTGCGCATGTTTGGTTGGAATCCGAAGGAATGCAAATGTTCCCTTGGGCGGCGGCGACTTGGCGAACGCACCGACTTTTGGACCAAGCACCTGGGTGCTAGCCAAAGTAGCTCAAAGGCACCTTGGTGCTGCGATTTCGCAGGAGGCATGCAGTTAGCTCGCTGTCAGCGACGTGCAACAAACATGTCGTACGGATTATTGCTTCGTATTCACTGTTCGACCTGTTGAACAGCGAGCAACTTGCTACCTGACCTCCAAGCCCAGAGCATGGCGCACATGGTGGACACATCTAGCCGCATGCTGCACTTGCAGCTTGGCGACTAACCCTAGGACCTAGTAGGTCCCCTTGTGCCCACAAAAGGAAGAAAAGAACATTTGCATCGGAATTGGTTTGAGTGGTTTATGTGTGCTGACCAGCTAATTAGCTTGCCCGGGCACTTGACCCGCAATGAGGGGTGGGATGTGGACATGCGACAGGATTTGGGCGCAGTTGTGATGGAGTGTTGGTTTCCTGCTATTGGCCGTCTCGTTCCACGCCAAGGCAAGCAAATGGCTTAGATGGCACCCGCATCGACTTGACCGTGCCTGAGTCCATGTCTGGCGGCGAGCTGTCAGAGCTCCTCTACTGCAGGCAGCCCAAGCGTGGCGCTACCCTGCTGCTTGTCAAAGACAAGGAGCTGTCGTCCAGCCAAACGCTCTTGGAGCAGGGCTTGAAGGACAGTGGTCATACTGCGCACGTGTATTTCTTTTCGGGCGGCTTCGGTTTCCGCAAGGGAAGGGCGAAGGACAGAAAAGAAAAGGCTAGAACGATGAGAACATGTGAGGATCGTGTTCTTCTTGGTGATGCTAGATGCTACATTTCTCTTGCTTCCTAGATGCCCTGAAGGACTGCCCTGCAGTGACCTTCCTTTACAAGCCAGCCAGCTTGCTTCGAGCTCAGTTGATACAGAAGCACCCGGTTTGATGATGCTGATCAGGGGAGGGGGAGAATGATGATGAGGATGGAGTTCATAGGGGCAGATTGGAACCAGGAAGCCAAAGAAGCTTGAAAGTTTCTGAAAGAAAGGCTTTTTCATGGCTTCTGATGGAAATTGAGCGCCCTCACAACTGGCCCCCAATAGCTGCTAGACAGCAAATTCTTGTCCCCAACGGCATACTAGCGCTTGCGCAAGTACTACCATGGCTTCATGCAAGTGTTGTTTCTGCACATTGCAGGAATGCTCAAAACTGCAAACTCGCAGTGTTCTCACTGCAACCTCGCATGCTAAGGCAGCAAGCCTGGCTGGCGTTGACAGGCCCTGAGCCTGAATCCAACGCACAAGTGTTGCAGGGAATAACCCAGCTCCACTTCAATCGAGATGATGCCAGCTGCCTCACAGGTTTGAGACTACCATGCAGCCTCCAGAGCCTGTCCTTCGGTGACACTTTTAATCAAAGCCTGGAGGGTGTTACATTTCCAAGCAGCCTCACAAGCTTGAAGTTTGGTCATGATTTCGATCAGAGACTGGAGAAAGTTCGCTTTCCCTGTGACCTGGAAAGCTTGACCTTGGGCTGGCGCTTTAATCAGACCCTCAGTGATGTGCACCTCCCTTTGCATCTTCAAACGTTGACTATAAGCGGCCTTTTCAGTCAGAGCTTGGAGCATGTGAAGTTTCCTTGCAGTCTCCGCGACTTGACCATCCAGGGTTCTTTCAGCGAAGGAGAGCTTCGCATGCACCTGCCTCCAAAGCTCAAACGTTTGCATTTCGGCAATCGGGTCAACCAGAGCTTGCAGCACTTGGATCTTCCAGATGGCCTCGAAAACTTGACCATCTCAGGTGCTTTCAACCACAGCTTGGTGGGTGTGAAGCTTCCCAGCAGCCTTCAAAGCTTGAGCTTTGGTGACTGCTACGACCAGAGCTTGGAGGGAGTGGATCTCCCAAGCAGCCTTCGCACCTTGATCTTCGGGGATGGGTATAACCAAAACCTGGACAAGGTTATGCTTCCCAAGTCCCTGCAAAGCTTGACCTTTGGATGGCGCTTCGACCAGCCCTTGGACAAGTGCAAGTTGCCAGACAACCTGCAGAACTTGGCCTTTGGAGCCGACTTCAACCAGAGCTTAGAGCACGTGGCTTTGCCAAGCCTTAGGACCCTGACTTTCGGCGATGCATTCAACCAATGCCTGGGGCCTGTCATTTTTCCCGCTGGCTTGCAATGCCTGAAGTTCGGCTTCAACTACAACCAGAGCTTAGAGGAGGTGATTTTCCCCAACAGCCTACTGAGCTTGACCTTTGGACGTCGATTCAACCAGAGCTTGGTGGGTGTGAACCTCCCTTGCAACCTGCGGCACCTGGAGTTCGGCTTTGAATTCAACCATTGCATGGCTCAAGTGGTGCTCCCCTGCGCGCTTTCGACTCTGACCTTTGGATGGCGCTTCAACCAGCCCTTGGATTGCCTGGCGTTCCCCGAGGGCCTTAGGAGTCTCACATTCGGCGTGGACTTCAACCAGTCCTTGGAGAACACGCGTTTTCCGCTAAGCCTCGAAAACTTGAAGTTTGGAGTGAAGTTCAACAAGAGTTTGGCGCATGTGGCTCTTCCGGGCAAGCTTCGACACTTGGCCTTCAGCGACTGCTACAATCAAAGCCTGGAGCAAGTGATACTTCCTGGAAGCCTTCAGACCCTAACTTTCGGTGCATGCTTTGATCAGAGCCTGGAGAATGTGAACCTCCCGGGTGACCTGCAGAGCCTCACCTTCGGTGCCTACTACAATCAGCCTTTGGAAAGCACAAGCTTGCCAGGCAACCTTCGGAATCTGAATTTTGGCGAGTATTATGACCAAAGCTTGCAGGGGGTGAACTTGCCGGACGGCTTGCATAGCTTGACCTTCGGCGAGTACTATGGTCAGAGGTTGAACAATGTGACCCTTCCCAACTCCCTGCACACGCTGGCATTTGGAGGGGCATTCAACCAGAGCTTGGAAGGAGTAATGTTTCCGAGTGGCCTTCAATCCCTAATTCTTGGCGAAGCTTTCAATCAGAGCTTCTGCCATGTAAATCTACCAAGTACAATACGACACCTCAAGCATGGGAGTGTTCTGCTCAGCTGCCAGTGATTCTCCGTCTTTCTGTGGGCAAAGAAAAGCTCTTCTGCTGGTCAAAGCTGCATGCCTGCCTTTGGTGATCAAATCCTTGGTTTGCCTTTCGCGTGCCGCACAAAGACACCAAATGGCCCCAGAAGAAGCATGCGTACGCGCTGCGTTGTGTGCATGCCAGCACGCGCTGTGTGTTATGAAACGCTCCAAGTGGGCGGGCACTGCTCACATGGCAGGCTGGACAGGAGAAGGTGCCAGTCCTGATGCTGGCATCCCTCCGTTTAGCTTGCCACTGCGGGCTTTGTCAATTATGAGCCTTGTCGAGCAAACAGTAGACTGTGCAAACTGTTTTGTTTAAGGGCTAGAAACCAGGCAGTAACCGCTCTGCCCCACAGTGGGGCGACATTGCCCCTGCCAACCCGGAATGCGCACATGGACATCACTTTTCCGATGCCTTGTCGTCCATGCCATTTGCCAATCTCACAGCGGCAACAGCTAAGGATGCATGACTACTGCCTGAACGCTGCATTCACACATGTTTTAGAATGGGACACTTGGCTGACTGATGTGTTGACCTGCGTGCCTCGCACCTTGGCTTCACGATATTTGTGTTCTTGTTGTGACACAATATGATAGGCTTTGGCGCTAGGAGCAATCCCCTGTAGAGTCTTCGTGACCGTTTTTCGTTTGCAAGGTTCTTCCACTGGCTTGTACCCAGCACTGCGCAGAACTCATTTGTGATGGCAGTCCCATTTTGTGCCGAGGACTGCCTCTACTTTGAGCTGGGGAACCGCTCCAGCGACGCATGCAACGCGAGTGCCATGGCCAAGCGGGCATTTTGGGGCACAGGCGCTTTACGCAGTTGCTGTATGCAGGGGTGTTGGAGTATTTTGTCGCCTTTGGTGCTGAGCCTTCTCTCACCTGCTTCACTGCCTAGCTCAGGTGCCTACGAGGCGGATTGCTTGGAAGGATTTTTGAGTCCAGCCTTGATCATTGTTTTTGCAAAACCCCGAAAGCCAACGTGAGTGGAGAGGAGAATTTCAAAAACCCATTGATGTGATTGCCTTTGCGTTGCAGCATTGTGCTGGGTTCTCTTGCGGCAGTATGCCGCGCGCGCGCCCTGCCAGAATTATGGTTGGTGGATCGACTCGGAGTACAGGAAAGGCCAGCAGACAGTGTGCACTTATCCGTTGCAAGGGGGAAAACACGCGTTGTTTGCTCTTTGGATGGGACTGGTGCTGGTCAACGTTGCATTGAAGGGCTGCGGCCAGCGGATGAGGAACCTGACCAGACTTCAAGCGCTTACCCACTTGAGCCCTAGCTTAACTTTGGTCGGAAGGGGCAAGCACTAGATTAGGGCTTTCTGTGCGTGAACTATCCTGGGAGCAACCACCTGAGCAGGAAGCGACCGTGAGCACTTTTGCCACTTTGGTTGCGCAGCCCTTAGCCAATCATTGCGATCTCCTGAGGGAGCCCATGGGTATGGCGGGTATGAACAAAGCATAGGGTTGCTGGCTTGCTTGTTGCTAGAGCGCTTGGAAGCAGGTTTGCCATGACCCTTTCTGCTTCTGAGGTGCTCAGGCGCTTGTTCTGCCAGTCGCCCAGTTGTGTCACAGACCACGCATGCAAAAAGGTTCGCGCATGCTGCCTTCCAGTTGTGCGGAAGCTCAATTTGTCTAGTGCCAAAGGTTGGGCAACCTTGGTCCACGGTTTGGACTTGCATATTGACAAAGGTAAGGGTAGAAAGGTTGGCATGTGCAGATGTTTGGTTCTCCAGGACTGCATTGACAAGCATGCTCGAGGACTGCCCCTCGTAATGCTGTGTCCGATTGCGGGCGAGTTGTTGAAGCAAAAGCTTTCGCGGTGCAGGACGGCGTGAATGACAAGAACGCTCGAAATGTTATGGCGAAGTCCTAAGGATTTGGATGAAGCTGGACTTGAATCAATGCTGCAAGCAAAGCCACCCCTTGCATACATGTGATGATATGTTCGACTTATAAACAGGCTACATTAGCAAGTGGCATGGTGGGACCAATGGCAGGCGAGAGAGGCAAGAAGGCGGAGTACACGAAGCCACCCGCTTTTTAACCAGCCAAACAATTGCACTTTCCGCTGCCGCAAGGTGCAGGCCAAGCAAATACACCGAGCAATCGCTACATCCAAAGCCTTCCAGCAAACATGGTCTCATGTAAGAAGCGGGTGGCAGCTCGCACGACGTCATCAAGAAATGCTAACTTGCAGCTGCACTCCTTACCCAAGCAAATGACCAGAAACATCAGGAGAGCAAGTATTTTGCACATCGATGTGCAGTTCATTCAGGGAGATTTGGGAACTGCATTCGAGGGACCAGCCAGCCCGTCCCCACTCATGTCAGTGGGGTTGCTCCTAAAAGGAGTTAGCTCCCCAGGATCAGCTCCAGGTGGCTGAAGCGCTCATGGGCCGCGGTGGCGCCCTGCGCTCAGACAAGTCGCCCTTCAGATGTGGCACCTTTCGCCTTTCGAAGAAGCACTGGGCGGAAATACGCTCAAGGAAAGAGAATCGTGAGTGGTTGGGGGTGGCAGGTACCGAAACAGCCTCACCAAGAATGAGGGACACTTTCGTGAGGATCCCTGGCTGGAGAGTTGCGACCTGCAGGCTTGTTCAGGATTCAATGCTGTACATGGCTTCAAGGCCGAATTTGAGATGACTAAGCCATGTGGCCATTTAGAGGTGCAGAAAGAAGTGAGCTGAAAACACGCATTTGTTCACAAGCTGTACCGGGCGGCACTACATGCATCGCGTTCCGCCCTCCGCCCAAAAGAAGACGGTAGAGGCGCTCACTGACAAGCAATTCATCCCCATGCCCCACAAACCACACGTTGTTCCGTTTGTAAATGATGCGTTTTCCTGGAAACTAAAAGAATCAAAAGGACGCTTAGTGGTGTGGTGTAAAAGGGCTTGCCTCTATTCTTACCGCTCGGTCTGTTTTGATCATTTTGTTGGGTTGACTTGCCAATCTGACTTGTTCTAAAAGGTGGAGAGGGAAGAGCTCAGAATATCAGCGTTGCACCTGTATTTGCGCTAGTGGTCCATTTTGGCCTCGGTGGCCAGCACCATTTTATCGAGCAATCAGATGCGCAAGTTGCATCGGAGCATGGAAGGGAAAGCTTTTGCACAGACGGGGTTCGCCCAGAGGGTCCGAGCCGCAAGAAGCTGGACGAAAGTCATGAGCATAGGACCTGGACTATGCCAGTTCCTCCAAATGGGGCAGCCAACTGTCCACGGCCCAGAGTGATTCTGCCTGTCTTGCTTTGCCATCAGAGAAGGGAGGAGGGACTCTGAGCCAGTGATGTCATGGGGTGATTTGCAGTTGCATCATGTAGAAGCTGTGTCTATTGTTCGTTCGGCAGGCTCAACTTGATAAACCAGGCTAAGAGAATGGGCGAGAGCATTTGAAGAGCATATGCGCAAGCAAGGACAAGCCTTGCTGCCGTGCTCATTGACTACCTAGCCAGCTTGGGCTTTCTGCTCAGCCCTGGGAGGGGGGGATGGGTGGTGGAAGTGGCTTGCAAATTGCCCTGGTGCACCACATGAGAAATTGAATATGCCTGGCGGTCCTTGGGTGTGTTTACATGAATGTGGCTCCGGCTGGAGCAGAGGATTCGAGGATTCCCCGTTGACTTCGATCAGTATTTAGCTTGTAATTTCGGCTACACTGGGTACAGATTGCGCCTCTGGTTTCATGGTGACCTGGCTCCCCTTTGGCGCCACGGTTTGCGCTTCTAGTCAGCAGTTGCTTGCCATTGATTCGGTCACCACTCGGATGTCCATTCCCCTGCGTGGTTGCCGAGGGCACAGCAGCAAGGAGGCTGGACTTATTCTGCGCACTGCTCGCCCAATTTCTATTTAAATGAGACTGCTGCATGCTAATTACCACACGCGAGGTGCAACATAAACCTGTTTGGTGAGAAGTGTGCCCCTCCGCCAGTGTCCTTCTCGTGCTTTAGCCATCCTATTTGTTGAGGCTGGCAAATCTGCGCTGCAACTGGCCCGGACGCTTCAGCCGTGTGCCGTACCCCTAGCGTCAACCAATGGAATGTACTTAGGTGGGTGTGTCAACCAATGGAATGTACGTACGTGGATTGAGGGTTGCCAGAACATGCTGGATAGCTTGTCTTGTCCTAACTTGGCAATCCTGCTTTCCATAGCTTTGCTGGCTGTGGTTGTCGGAGGGACAATCGAATTGTCGCTGTTGCAAAACCGTTTCCCACCCGAATGTTGCATAAAGCTTGGGCCACCTGTCTTCTGCGGTTTGTCGGGATTCTGTAACGGTGACAAGACGGAGACCGTGGGTCAGTGCCACTTGCCTGGAAGCAGCTGCTTCCTCAGGATCCCATACTGCATCGGTGTTGGCAGGCGCGGGGTGAGGGAGAGAGCGGGAGAGAAAGAGTGTCGGGCTGCGTATTCAATCTCCCTTGCTCAGTGGAGACAGCAGGGTGCATGGCAAAACCAACCACACAGCCAGGAAGATTCGCCTCATGACCTCATGGCCCTTGTCCAATGATACCATGACACCTCACGAAGTCACAAAGCTCACAGCTTTTATAGCATAGAATGTCAAGCCGCCAATGTTTGCCAACGCATGACCTTCGCGAAGTTAGTTTGTGGGAATCAGTTAAACATCCGCTGCAAGTAACCAGTGAGTCTTCACCTCAGAATCCGAGAAGACCTTTGGAGCAAACTCCTTGCCAGGCCCAGGAAGCTTTGAGCAGCCGTTCAAATGATTAAATCACAATCAACGAGTTTACGCCACAGGGTTTGTTTGCGGTCTCACTTGACTGCTTTACGCATGCGTCGGCACAGATGAATCCTGTGCCGTTCAGGTGGAGGCCCACCAGCAAGGCCAAGCTGTCTGAGTTTGTAAAACTGGAAAGGGCAGCTCACACCCCCAGCTCCTCCCCTCTACAGGGCAGGTTCCGCCGCGTGGACGGGTTCTGGGACATGTTTGGTTCTTTAGGTGCAGCGGGTTGCCTTTTACTCTTGCATTTTCTCCGCAGGCATCGTGGAGGCGGGCCAGAAGACAAATGTATGCAAATGGCTTTTGCCAGGGTGTTTTTGCTGCATCAGGCGCAATTAAGAAGCATTCTGCACTGAGTAGCTGGCATGGCTGCTGATGCTTGTCAGGCCGATTCCTGCTTCATTGTGGGCTCAAAAAATGAACAAGCATGAGCATGCATGGAGCGGAGTGCTGCCACACCGTGCAACAACTGCAACCATGGCGTGTGAGTGTGCACTTTCTTCAGGCCAGGCGTTCAACATACTTGCACTGCGAGCAGCCAACCTTTGCATGCTTTGGCGTGTGGCGGCCGCCTTTGCTGTATTTCAGCAAGGACGCGGCATCGCCTTGTCAGCCATGGGCAAAGGCAAGGGCAAAGGCGGTTACCCTTGGTGGGAGCAACTTTGGCCTGCATATGTGTGGTTTTGGTAGGGGTCGTAGTCAGGGCAGGGCCAAAATGCAGTTCAACTGAAAACGCGATGAGACAGGCAGAGGGCAGGTGAGCTTAGCACAGCACTACAGCTAGTAAGCTCAAGAGGGCTTCCCAACAAGCTCAATTTGCCACAGGGCTTACTAAGAGAGGGCAGGGGCTGGTCTTGCAACCAGACAGCAATATTCAGTAATGACAGCTTCCGCTGTGTGCACGTGCTGGACATGGCTTTGATTCAAGGAGTGTGTTCCAGAGTTGGAGACGCGGTCTTCGACATTTGGCCTGTTTGCTCAGTCAAGGCACATTAAACCCAGAGAAGACCGTGGTAAAGGCAGCGATGGAGGGGGCGGAGGAGGAGGAGGAGGCCCGAAATGAATCCATCAACATGATTATTGAGCTCTTGCGTGCGCTTGTACCTGAAAGCATATGCACCCACGCATGCAAACACCACGTATTGCCACCAACACAAGGTCACATCGGCTAAAACTGTGTTTCTTGTGCCGCCAGGCAGCTGGGCCGAATCTCGGACTTGAACACTGGAGAAGGTTGAGCACGGTCTGATTGGAAAATGTATATTTGCTTGCTTGGCTGCTTTGGGGTTTGGAGGGCGCAAAATTCCACTCAAGCTTCGATAGCTTGTTGATGACTATAAACAAACCGTCAACTGGAATCGCAGGTGGCAACGGGCGAGCTATCTTGCGGGGAAATGGTGCTCTCGCACTTTCACATTGTTGCATGATTGCTTGGCTTGGCCAGGCCTGTGTGTGAGTCATCAATGATTTAGTTTGTGCAGGACTATTTACCAGCATCCCTGGCAGGGGAATCTTACGAGAAAACCATCAGCAGTTCGGGATGACTAGTGTTCCTCACACAAAGTTGTCACCATGGCACACGTGGGCCGCTTGCACTTATCACTTGAGGCCAGATCTGCACCGTCGGGTCCACTGTCGCAGCTCCAACGCAAGATCCAAGAGCTGGACGGCCGGCAGCCAGGCAACCAATGGACCACGCGGGTCGAAAGGCGCCGAAAGGCACTATTATCCCGACATTTGGCGTTGCCGCCATTTCAATTGGACTGATTGTTTGATTCGCAAGCGAAGGGGGGGCCACGGACGATGCCTACGAAGAGAACTTGTCAGGCAGGTGAAGAAGGCAGCGTTTCTTGCAAACTGCCAGCTTTCGGCGCCCCTCTCTAAAGTTTGGCTTGCTCCGATTCCACCATAAGAACAGAGCCCGAATCATTTCATTTGACGCACGAGGCCTGCTTGCCGGGACGCACTTGACCTTTTTTATGCGTGATATTAGAATGCAGCAGCAGATGCACCAAATTGGGCAAGCTCCCATTCGCTATTCTACAAACTGTGCGCACTTTGCTTGCCACACATACCATGCATGTGTGGAGTATGCGGGGGACTGATATCGATTCCCTGTAGCCTGTACCTCCTCTCGCCATTCTGCCTGCCTCCCCCTTATTCGGTCCATGCTGCTGCCCAATGATTGGTCAAGAATACGGAAATTCTAGTTTGCAAATCACTCACAGTGTAAATGGGACTGTGAGAAATTGCATATGTGCAAGTTCGCTGGCAGAGATGCAGTCGTTGCAGTTTTTCTGGCTTTCGCTTTTGACATTCAAATGGTACTTGGCAACAATGACTGGAAACACCTAGAAGAGCATGCCAGGGGGCAACATGCGTCCCACTGTGACCGAGCTGTCGGGCGGAAGTTTCAAAACACCGAACAGCCGTAGTTTGAGAAGTGAGATGCACTGCCATGGCAGCACGCCTCTTTCTCCTTTTTGGGCTTTCTGTGTGTGGCGCAGCTTGTGGGCCAGTGTGTGAGTCAGCTGGTTGTAGCTAGAGCTGGGAGCTAGATAGCTATATAGCAGTCAGCTAGCAGAGTGGAAAGCAACAACAAGACGCCGCTTGTCCAACGCTCGACACCCGACAAGTGCACAGAGAGTTGCGCAAGCAAAGCCAAACACCAAGAAGCTTGTTCAGGATCAACCTTGCGAAAGTCCGCAGATGGTGATGGATAGTAATTTTGCGGAGCCCCGTCAGGATCAATCCCGGATTCCGAAACTACGCCCGAGAATCTTCGGCTTAGGGTGTTTTAGGGTTGGCTGAGAGGTGGGTGTCGGGTTGGTGTAGGGTGATTTAGGTTTGGTTTGGGGTTGGTGTAGGGTGTTTGACGTTTGATTCAGGGTTGGCTCAAGCTGTTCTAGGGTTGGTTTGTGGCTAGTTTAGGGTTGGTGTAGGGAATTTTAGGGTTGGTTGGGCGTTAGGGTGTTTTAGGGTTGGTTTAGGGTTGGTGTTCGTTTGTGTACCCCAGTTTAGGGTCGGTTTAGGGTTGGTTTAGGGTTGGTTTAGGGTTGGCTTAGGGTGTTTGAGGTTTGGTTTTGGGCTGGGTTTGGAAACTAACACCTTCCAGTTTCCAAATCAGGGATTGTAGTTTCCGAATCACGTTGGTTTCCGAATCGGAACCAAGACCCACCATGACAATATCCCACATCATTATACATGGTTCTACGGCCCCGTATCTAAACAAGAAACCGCGATAATCCTTTTCTGCCGTAGCTTTGGCTCTTTCTGTGGGGAGTGTCTCCTTGTATGGGAGACCCTCCCACTTGCCGAGTGTGCAGGCAAGTGGGGACCCCCCGGCGGGCAGCTGGTGTGCTGTTTGCCTGGCCTCCGGTCGGGGTGCTCCTGAAGGACAAGAACCTCCCGGTGACCTGGGAGGCCGTGTGGTGCAGCAGCTTAGTCCCGGGGGAGATCCAGGACGTGGTGGACGTGGCCTTGGCGGAGGCCGCGGTGACCTCGGTGGGTGAGGAGATCTCCCAGGTCAGGGAGAGTGCTGGGCCCAGGGACTCCTGCTGAGGAGAAGGCGGAGGAGCTCGAGAGGAAGGGCGAGGTAAGAGGAGACGCAGATCGAGGAGCGGGCGGAGGACTAAAGGCAGTCGCCCGGGCAAAGTGCTATAAGAGGAGGTCAGACCGCACTTCTAGCGCTAGGCCGCAGAGTTCAGGTCGGAGGAAACACAGGGAGGCTTCGCCTGAGGACGCCCCTGCATTGCCACCGGAGGACACGGTTCTGGAGGAAACGCCGGCCCCAGCTGTGAGGCCCCCTAGGACACCACCTTGGCCGCCACCCACAACGCCCTGGCGCTATCAGTCTTGGGCAGGAGCTCTGCCTAAGTGGTTTGGCAAGAACAAAAATTTAACGAAGCGGATCAAGCAGGCTCAATATAGGGAGAAGCACTTGCCCCGTTGACAGGAGCAATGCCTCCCAAAGCAAAGGCGAAGGCGCCCGCAGGTGCGGGTGATGAGATGAGAAGGCTAGCAGGAGCTGGAGGCGTGGGGGCCGACCCCGGGCGCCGACCAGTTGATGCGCGGAGGAGAGATGTTGTTGGTAGAGTGTGAAGAGAGGGAATTCAAGGACATGTCCATGGAGGACCTTAGGAACCTCAACCAGGTGGTGATTACGAAGGGCTCCTACTCAAATCCTGGCCATGACGGCGGCTGGTTGTGAATTTGAAGGACGTGAAGTCTACTTGGCCGGGCGAGTTCATAGGACTAAGGGTGAGGCGTTGCTGAAAGTGCTCAGCAAGAAAAAGAAGGTGCGCGTCCATGTTTGCGGAGACCTATGTGGTGGGGAGCTGGTGGATGAGCTCCTGGTGCATGGCAGAAGGGCCAAGAGAGTGGATGCTTGGTCAGAGGATTGGATGACAAACATGGAGGCTGCAATGCTCGAGAGGAGAGGAGATGGAGGACCTGCGCTGGGCGAAGCAGATGTTGGAGTTGTTCTAGGAGTTGCTGATGGAGGAGACGTTGGAGAGGTGCCCAGGGAGAAAAGTGCCCTGGGGCCGTCTAAGGCGAAAAGCAAGAAGGGCGTAAAAGCAGAGGGCGCAAAGAGCTCAGCGGTGAAGGAGTTTAATGCGCTCTTCGGTGGCACTCGAGGTATGAAAGCCATAGAGGTGGTGAAGAGGCCTCAATCTGAGCACGAGAGCGAAGAGGTGATGATTGCCCATGGAGCTCCTTTCGGAGCGCTGATCCGGGTAGCTAAGAATTTTCCTGAACCTTTGACAAATCAGACGCTCTAGGAGGCGCAGGAGACACTGGCTGGAGAAGGGGCGGCCACAGCCTCTTTCCTGTTGTAAGGCCCATACACTTTCAGAGGTAGTTGCAGGGATGATGGACCTCCTTAGCCAGAGGTTGAAGGCGATGGAAAGGTGGCAAGAAGGTTGAAGGAAGGCAGAGCAAGGAATTGGGAAAGGAGGAGCCGAAGAAATGAGAGGAGAAGCCCCTGGACCCCCTGTCTATAGTGTGTGTGTGCGAGTGCGAAAAGTGTGAGTGGCATGGAGGAGCCGGCAGTGGAAAGCAACAGCGAGGTTGATGAAAGGAAGAGAGAAGGTCAGGAGACAAAGAAGTAGGCGTGAAGGTTGTCAAGGAGGACATGGGAGATGGTGAGTGGGAGTCGCCCTGGGCCGACTCAGGAAGACTCCTGTGAGATGAGTGAGAGCGGGCTCACCATTTAGGGTTCCCTCTCCTACGAAGGCCTAGTAGAGGGGTCCCGGTATGCGGAGATCGGGAGAATAGCAGGCGATCTTCTGCTACGCTTCGAACAAGCGCACCAGCAAGCGCCTGTGAAACTCCCGAGACTTCCGCTGTAGCTAGGGCACTGTGCAGAGGTTGAACCACTACTATGGCACGGTGGCTTCACCCAGCCCGGGCGAGGACGCAGGCATCCGTCCGCATTGTCAAAAGGCTCTGTGAGGTGGTCAGGAATTGCCCTTTATGGCATGAAACAATTCCGAGGATTTCAATGAAGACATTTTTTGAGGCCAAGACGATTGACTATCAGGGGGAGGAGGTGAAGGTCGCTAGGCGTTTCCGGTGGGACAACATTGCTCCTTCCCTCCCTGCTGAAGTGGGTCTACTGGATTTGAGGGAATTTTGCGAGCAGGGTGTGTTGCAACTTTGAGGACTTTCTCCTTCCCGAGGAACTGCAGACCATCCCCAAGCCACCCCGAGTTCTGGTAGATGATCCTGGTTGGGCGCAAATCTGTGAGGGGCTGGTCAGCAATGGAATTTGCGACTTTTGGGAGGCGGGCGCCTTGCATCATGACGCCTCTCCTAAATTTGCTATTCGCTGTAAGTAAAGATGAGCAGTTTACAAAGGAGGATGGATCTTCACATGAGGTCATGAGGCTCATCATGAATTTGGTGCCGCTCAACAACCTGTGTAGGCCCCTGGTAGGAGACACTCCAACTCTCCCGTTGATGCAAGGGATGAGTATTTTCCTACTGGAGGAGGGGGAGGTCTTGACCATATCTTCTGAGGATATTAGATGCTTCTTTTACATTTTTTCTGTGCCGGAGGAATGGAAGAAGTTTCTGGGCTTCGCGAAGGTGGTTCCGGACGAGGCGCTCCCGCAGCACTGAAAGGGAAGAGTGGTACATTTGGTTTCTCGCGTGTTGCCGATGGGATTTATAAATTCAGTGGCTATTGCGCAACTTATACACCGGAACGTCGTGCGACATGCAGCGCTGCGAAATTTCCCTCCCGTAATGGGAGAACAGGAGCTGAGGAAGGATAAGCGTCCTACTAGCTCCAAGCAATTGTTTCGCATATACCTAGACAATTTCGATGAGCTGACACGCTGTGATGAAAAGACAGCTCTGCTGGTCCAGGGAGTGGAGTCACCCATGGTAGACCCCAAGTTGCAGAAATGTGTCATCTATGCTGTGCTGGGTAAAATGGGAGCTTGCCCGTTTCGTTGCACTCCTGCCGTTGGCCTATATGGATTTCAGGTCAGCGAGGTCGTTACTGCCAGCAATGCTTCCACCGGTGGCGGAGGTTTTACAGTTAGCCGTGGGCTCAGCGGTTATGGCCTGGCCGCGGAAAGAGCGCGAATTCGTGGTGAAGTTCCTGAGGAACAGCATCTTGTCAGGGTGTTGGCAATAGGGCTTTTCGATGGGATTGGTGCTCTTCAGGTGGCTTGCGAACAGCTAGGTGTCCCACTGTGCGGGTACATTAGCGTTGAGAAGGAGAAGAGCGCGCGCAGAGCAATTTTCCTGACGTCATACGCGTGACCGAGCCCTCCAGCACAGTGGGGCTGGAGTAGTTCTCCTGGGAGCTGGGCCGCCTTGCCAAGGAGTCTTGGGTCTGAACGCGGATCGTCGAGGCGCTCAACGAGATGAAAGGAGCCGCTTGTACGTACATGTACCCCGCATCGAGGAGTGAGGCAGTATTTCTCTTGGGCACAAGTACACCACTTGGTTCTCGGACCAAGTCGGTGCGATGAGGCCACGATTTCGCGCTGGAAAGAGGATCGGCATAGATTTCCCCCGTATCAATATCGTGAGGAGAACTGTTTGACGAATCGGAAAGGTGAGCTACGAATGGCAAGGGTGACGGAGAGAGAGGTCATACACGCGGAACTGTGCAAGCAAAAATGAGCAGAAGGGATTTGCCTGTGAATGCATCAGGCACACACTTTTGGGGAACTCCTTGTCAGTGCCGGTTGTCATGTGCTTGCTCTACGACCTCTTTAAGCCTTTAGGTTTGATATCCGAGCTCGGGGTGCAGGACATGGTCGTTTTGATGCGGCCGCCCTTGGTGCGCTCAAGCCAGCCCTTGGACTGAGACGTACCATGTGCCGAATGAATGCTGTATTGCTTGCCAGTGGACATCAAGCTCTTTGGGGCTATGTCCACACCTCCCAAAACCCAGCAGACCGCCCCTCTCGCGAGGGTACTTTGAAGTCATGGGTAAAAAAGCGAAGCATGTAGAAGGGAGGTCGCAAGCAGACAGAATCAAAGTTCGGCAAAGTTTGGGTAAATTAAAGGACTTGACCGTGCAGCCTTCGACTCGGCTGCGTTATGACAAAGCCAGACGTCGTTTTCTGCAGTTTTTAACAGACAGCCAGCTGGAGCTGCCCAAAGAAAGGGCGCATGGACGCCCCAGTCAGTGACTTTCTAGAGTACCTGTGGGGTTCAGGTGCGGGCCGTGGGCTCGCGTGCGATCATGGCATCGTTGCAGGATTTCGATCCGAAGTTGAAAGGTCAACTGCATGGATCCTGGCGGCTTTTAAAGGCTTGGCATGCGAATGAACTTCCTACCCCAGCTGCGCCACTGACAGAGAAGATGTTGCAAGCCATGGTTGGCTATGCTCTGTTCAATCAGTGGTACTCGTTTGCACTCTCGTTGGTGCTTGGCTTTTATGGCGGGGATTGACCAAGGGCGGCAAGCGGCTGCCGAGAGTGTTTCAATCGGAGTCATCCCCGTTCTGCGATTTCTGTGGCGATGGAAAGCGCTGTGTGAGCCCCATTCCCCTCTGGTCACTAAAGCGCACGTGTGGAGACAGCGCTTCCAGGATGTCTTCTGAAATTGGGCCTGCACGAGTTGGGGCTGCGACCCTGCGCGTTGCGCAGAGGAGGGCCCACGTTTTCGTTCTTCAAGCTTAGGTAGTTTCAAGAGATGTGAAACGCAGTGTTTCTGATGAGGCCCCACGACAAGGCACATGTCAAGGTACGAGCACGGCTCGGTACGGGTACGAGATTTGGGTGCGGTGCGGTGCGCGGTGGGGGTTCGAGCGTTGGTGCGAGGGCGTGCGGTGCGGTGTTTGGTGCTGTGTGCGGTACGGCGCGCGGCGCGGGTATCCGTACCGAATTAGCGGCTGAAAGTCCAGAATTAGCGGCAGATTCTGCCGCTAATTTGCGAATTTCTGCCGATAGGGAACAGGGTACGCCGCACTGCGCCAGTACCCGTACCGAATTAGCGGCTGAAATTCGGAAATTTCTGCCGCTAATTCGGTACGGGTAGGGGTGCGCCGCGCCGCACCATAAGGCGTACCACGTTTCCGCGCCGCACCTCGCACCACAAGGCGTACCGTATCCCCGCACCCCGCGCTGCACCGCGCACCATCAGGCGCACCATGTCGCCGCACCATGCGCCGTACCTATTTTGGCTCCAAACATGGAAACTTTGACAAGCTGCTCCCAAGAGACGTTGGGCAGCTGCGCGCGCAGCTCGCATTTACCTAAATGAAGGTTTGGCCCTCGTGAATGAGATGAAGGTCTCAAATAAGGAGTGTTTCGAAATTTCAGCCAACGCTTGAGCATCCTCAGAAGAGGAGGCCAGGGGACGTGGAAGGAAGAGAAAAAGGGGGCGTTTGGGAGCTGATTTCCCTCGAATTTTCTTGCGCTCAAGGCCCAGGTTAGCTTCGGTTTGGCGGAGCTGCCTGGTTGATGTTCGGGGCCCCTCAAAAGAAGAGCCCAGGTGGCCTTTGTACTCTGGGTCGAGTACTCGAAGTTGCATTTCTTTAAAAAAAATTGACAACTTCCTGCTTGCTGGTGCATAAAAGGAGAGCGGTTGAGTGTTTATATATGTATGTATATATGGGCTCACTGGTTCATTCCTGGAGCTCGCAGTCATGCTTACACAAAGTGCTCCAGCTCAGGCAATACCCTTGCTACAAAGATCTTGCCGGCGGCGGATGGGACGTAGAGCAACTTTACTCCAAGAAAATGCGCTTGACTTTCCAAGCATACATGCACAAAAGAGGCTAGAACATCGCTAATGATATCATGTCTCACTGGGTGACTCGGGAGGCACGTGAAATGTGCTTTGAAAGCCTGGGTTGTGATGCTGTTCATTGTGTAGGTGTCAGAATCGTTTCTTTCCTTTGAGTTGCCGCTGGGTGCAGCCTCAGCGTTCGCTTAGCAACTGCTCGGCCAGGAAGAGGGCTATGACAGTCTTCTTTGACCGATTCTTGGCTTTGCTGGAAGGCTGCCGCGCGCACAGAAACGATCATACGCCACCATGATTTCCAATAGTCCAATCACGCCGGCCGTCTATGCAAATTCTGCAAGCGGCTGATTGCCACCTTGCAAAGATTGAGCAAGGCTCCAAATTGACGCGCAGAGCGGCCAATGGCCACTGGCCGCAATCCAAGGAGTACAGGGCGATTCATATGCTCCTCCGTCCTGGGTGAGGGTGCGAGTTCCCATGGCAGCAGCGACTTGACAATCAGAATTGCTTTGCGGCGCTGCACACGAGCTTGTCTTGGCCTGCTGGTGGGTATGCCAAGTGTGCGCCGCAGTGTAGAAAATGCTTATGTCAGTCACGATGGTGCATGACAACGTGGAAGCGCACGCATCGTGTTTTGGCTGTGATTTTGTTGCTGGCGCTGGGCGCAACTGACATGCATGAGCAAACCCAGCCAGGGACCATTGAGTGCAAAACCTTGAATCACCTAGGCCGGATTTCTCGCAGCCTATGTCTCCCAGTCACGAATACGCAATACAGCTCTTTGCGACTACGTCACTCGCGTTCTGTCCGACAAATTGCATGGCGGAGATGGCACTGATTGGATCTTGGGCTTGATTCAATGTGGCTTGTTAAGAGACCCTTCAGCGCTTCATGGTTACTCGAACATCAGACTTCCTCTCCTTTTGGAGGCATTCAAGTGTGTGTGTGTGTGTGTGTGTTTGTGTGTGTGTGTGTTTGTGTTTGTGTTTGTGTGCTTGTGTTTGTGTTTGTGTGCTTGTGCTTGTGCTTGTGCTTGTGTTTTTGTTTGTGTGCTTGTGCTTGTGTGTTTGTGTGTTTGTGTGTTTGTGTGTGTGTGTTTGTGTGTGTGTGTTTGTGTGTTTGTTTGTGTGTGTGTGTGTTTGTGTGTCTGTGTGTGTGTTTTTGTGTTTTTGTGTGTTTGTGTGTGTGTGTGTGTTTGTGTGTGTTTGTGTGTGTGTTTGTGTGTGTCTTTGTGTGTGTGTTATTGTGTGTGTGTGGGTTTTTTTGTGTGTGTGTGTGTTTTTGTGTGTGTGTGTTTTGGGTGTGTGTGTGTGTTTGTTTTGGGTGTGTGTGTGTTTTGGGTGTGTGTTTTGTGCTTTTGTGTGTGTGTGTGTTTTGTTTGTGTTTGTTTGTTTGTGTGTGTGTGTCTGTGTGTGTGTTTGTGTGTCTGTGTGTGTGTTTGTGTGTGTGTTTGTTTGTGTTTGTTTGTGTGTCTGTGTGTTTGTGTGTGTGTGTATTTTTGTGTGTGTGTATTTTTGTGTTTGTGTATTTTTGTGTTTGTGTGTGTGTGTTTGTGTGTGTGTGTGTTTGTGTGTGTGTTTGTGTGTGTGTTTGTGTGCTTGTGCTTGTGCCTCTGCTTCTGCTTGTGCTTGTGCTTGTGCTTGTGTGTTTGTGTGTGTGTGTTTGTGTGTGTGTGTTTGTGTGTGTGTGTTTGTGTGTGTGGTTGTGTGTGTTTGTGTGTGTGTTTGTGTGTTTGTGTGTGTTTGTGTGTGTGTTTGTGTGGTTGTGTGTGTGTGTTTGTGTGTTTGTTTGTGTGTGTGTGTGTGTGTTTGTGTGTTTGTTTGTTTGTGCGTGTGTGCATGTGTGTGTGCGTGCGCGTGCGCGTGCGCGTGCGCGTGAGCGTGCGTGTGCGTGTGCGTGTGCGTGTGCGTGTGCGTGCGCGTGCGTGCGCGCGCGGGCGCGGGCGTGCGTGCGTGCGTGCGTGCGTGCGTGTGTGTGTTTGGTTGTTTGTTTGGTTGGTTGGTTGTTTGTTTGTTTGTTTGTGTTGTGTTTGTGTGTTGGTGTGTGTGTGTGTGTGTGTTTGTGTGTGTGTGTGTGTGTTTGTGTGTGTGTTTGTGTTTTTGTGTGTGTGTTTTTGTGTGTGTGTTTTTGTGTGTGTGTGTGTGTTTTTGTGTGTGTTGGTTTGTGTTTGTTTGTTTGTGTTTGTGTGTGTGTCTGTGTGTGTGTGTGTCTGTGTGTGTGTGTCTGTGTGTGTGTGTGTGCGTCTGTGTGTGTGTGTCTCTGTGTGTGTGGTTGTGTGTGTGTGTGTTTTTGTGTGTGTTTTGGTGTGTGTGTGTTTTTGTGTGTGCATTTTTGTGTTTGTGTGTGTGTTTGTGTGCTTGTGCTTGTGCCTGTGCCTGTGCCTCTGCTTCTGCTTCTGCTTGTGCTTGTGCTTGTGTGTTTGTGTGTTTGTGTGTTTGTGTGTTTGTGTGTTTGTGTGTGTGTGTGTTTGTGTGTGTGTTTGTGTGGTTGTGCGTGTGTTTGTTTGTGTGTTTGTGTGTGTGTGTTTGTGTGTGTGTGTTTGTGTCTGTGTTTGTGTGTTTGTGTGTGTGTTTGCGTGTGTGGTTGTGTGTTTGTGTGTTTGTGTGTTTGTTTGTTCGTGTGTGTGTTTGTGTGTTTGTGTGTGTGTGTTTGTGTGTTTGTTTGTTTGTGTGTGTTTGTGTGTTTGTGTGTTTGTGTGTTTGTGTGTTTGTGTGTTTGTGTGTTTGTGGGTGTGTTTGTGTGTCTGTGTGTTTGTGTGTGTGTTTGTGTGTGTTTGTGTGTGTGTGTGTTTGTGGGTGTCTTTGTGTTTGTGTGTGGAGGGCCATTTTTTTTGGATTTTTTTCGTTTTTTTAAGGAATTATTTTTGTTTTTCAGGGTCGGCGGCTTTTCAGCTTTTTGGCTTTTGTGGCTTTTACGTGGGTTTTTGTGGCTTTCGTGGCTTTTCGCATCATCTGCATTTACAGTTCCTCTCTTTTCGCATCCTCTGCATTGCCAGTTCCGCTGCGGCAGGTGGCTTTTTGGCTTTTTGGCTTTTTGGCTTTTTGGCTTTTGGCGGCTTTCTGGCTTTGGCCTTTCGCATCCTGATGCTTTTCCAGTTGGCTTCCTGCATCCTCAGCATCGCAAGTTCCTCTCTGGGCCCCCCGCCACCCCCCTTTCGATTAAAATGCACGCCTATTTGAATCATCACTTTTTCGATCATCATGCGACAGCTACTTTTTAGATTCTTTGCCCCTATTTTTTCGATCATCATGGGGGGGGGTGCCGTTTTACAGGGATTAGTTTGCCCGTATTTGAATCCTCACTTGTACCATGAGGCCTTGCCGCAGAGGAACTGATGACCCCCCTGCTGTTTTTTTTCTTTTTGTTTGGCCCTAATTGAATCATCACTTTTTCAATCATCATGGGGGGGGGCTGCCGCCCCCCCCACCCCCCCGCAATTTTTTAGACTTTTTGCCCCTGATTGAATCATCACTTTTTTGATCATCATGGGGGGGGGCTGCCGCCCCCCCCAACCCCCCTGCTATCTGTTGGACTTTTTGCCCCTAATTGAATCATCACTTTTTTCGATCATCATGCGACCGCTACTTTTTAGATTCTTTGCCCCTAATTTTTCGATCATCATGGGGGGGGCTGCCGCCCCCCCCCCAACCCCCCCGCTATTTTTTAGACTTTTTGCCCCTGATTGAATCATCACTTTTTCGATCATCATGGGGGGGCTGCCGCCCCCCCCCCAACCCCCTCCCCACGCCTTTAATTGAATCATCACTTTTTCAATCATCATGGAGGGAATTGCCGCCCCCCCCCCCGCTACGTTTTAGGTGTTTTACAGGGATTAGTTTGCCCGTGTTTGAATCCTCACTTGTACCATGAGGCCTTGCCGCAGAGGAACTGATGACCCCCGGCTGCTTTTTTTTAAAAAAAATATTTGTTGGCCCTTTTTGAATCATCACTTCTTCAATCATCATGGGGGGGGGGCCGCCCCCCCCAACCCCCCCGCTATTTGTTGGACTTTTTGCCCCTAATTGAATCATCACTTTTCGATCATCATGCGACCCGCTCCTTTTTAGATTTCTTTGCCCTTAATTTTTTGATCATCATGGGGGGGGCTGCCGCCCCCCCCAACCCCCCCGCTAGACTTTAGCCCTGATTGTCATCACTTTTTCAATCATCGTGGGGGGGGATGCCGCCCCCCCCCAACCCCCCCGCTATCTGTTGGACTTTTTGCCCCTAATTGAATCATCCTTTTCGAACATCATGGGGGCTGCCGCCCGCGCCTCCAATTGAATCATTACTTGTTCAATCATCCTGGGGGGGGGCATCATGGGGGGGCTGCCGCCCCCCCCCCCAAAAAGGCTGCCGCCCCCCCCAACCCCCCTGCGCCTTTAATTGAATCCTCACTTTTACCATGAGATGCGGGAAGCCAATTTGCTGGTGATGCTGGCGATGTTGGCTGGACATGCGGGGGATGTTCAAAACGATGCTGATGATGTTGACGGACTAGCGTAAAATACGTACATTTCGCAAGAACATGCTGTAAATTACAGCATTTTAGTAGCCAGGACGGAAAACAAAAAAAATCCTAAAATAAACAAAAAAATCCCAAAATAAATCTCGACCCTTTGTGTGTTTGTGTGTTTGTGTGTGTGCGCGCGTGTGTGTGTATCTCTGTTTGTGTGTGTGTGTGTGTGTGCGTGTGCGTTTGTGTGTGTGTGTTTGTGCGTTTGTGTGTTTGTTTGTTTGTGTGTGTGTTTGTGTTTGTGTGCGTGTGTGTGTTTGTTTGTTTGTTTGTTTGTTTGTTTGTTTGTGTGTGTGTGTGTTTGTTTGTGTGTGTGGTGTGTGGTGTGTGGTGTGTGGTGTGTGGTGTGCGGTGTGCGGTGTGCGTGCGTGCGTGCGTGCGTGCGTGCGTGCGTGCGTGCGTGCGTGCGTGCGCGCGTGCGTGCGTGCGCGCGTGCGTGCGTGCGTGCGTGCGTGCGTGTGTGTGTGTGTGTGTGTGTGTGTGTGTTTGTCTGTCTGTCTGTCTGTGTGTGTGTGTGCCTGTCTGTGTGTGTGTCTGTCTGTGTGTGTGTGTCTGTCTGTGTGTGTGTCTGTGTGTGTGTGTGTCTGTGTGTGTGTGTCTGTGTGTGTGTCTGTGTGTGTGTGTCTGTGTGTGTGTGTCTGTGTGTGTGTGCGTCTGTGTGTGTGTCTGTGTGTGTGTGTGGGCCTGTCTGTGTGTGTGTGTGTGTCTGTGTGTGTGTGTCTGTCTGTGTGTGTGTGTGTCTGTCTGTGTGTGCGTGTGTCTGTCTGTGTGTGTGTGTCTGTCTGTGTGTGTGTCTGTCTGTGTCTGTGTGTCTGTCTGTGTGTGTGTGTCTGTCTGTGTGTGTGTCTGTCTGTGTGTGTGTGTCTGTCTGTGTGTGTGTCTGTCTGTGTGTGTGT